GCTGTCGTAGCATCAGTTCTACCAGTTAAGCTCCCACAGGCTTCTTCAACCCTCCAAATCCTGCGCCTTGAACTCAGCTTTGTGGTGCGCAGCCCCAAGCACTGAATTCGATGACTGCACTGCTCAGAAAAGTAAAGCTCTAGAAAAACCCAAGGCAAGACTTCTCCAAGTATTTGGCGCCCCCTAGAGATGCAAAGTGTCTTGGCGCTTTAGAGGTTTCTGCAGGTCTTGGAGCCGCAGGGGAAGCTGGTTTGCGCAGAAACACGGTGGTTGCTTCTCAGGGGCGGCTGGTAGACAACAAATGCGTATTTATTTATTTATTTATTTATTTATTTATTTATTTATTTATTTATTTATTTATTTATTAAAACATTTTTATGCCGCCCCATTCGCCGAAGCCTCGGGGCGGCTTACAACATAGATAAAACAAGTTAAAATCCATATAAAATAATCTTAATTAAAACTCACATTATAAAATAAGCCGCCCTGGCCAGATAAAATTCAATTGTATTTAGCATTTAAAATGTTGCTTAAATAAAAAGGTCTTAGCCTGGCGCCGAAAAACAAATAACGACGGCGCCAGGCGGACCTCTCTGGGGAGCGCATTCCATAACTTAGGCGCCACCGCTGAGAAAGCCCTTCTCCGAGTAACCACCCTCCTAATTTCTCTCACGGAGGGCTCCCGGAGAAGGGCCTCTCCCGCCGATCTCAGGGGGCGACTGGGCATATATGGACGTAAGCGCTCCTTCAGGTAACCAGGACCCAAGCCGTTTAGGGCTTTATAGGTCATTACCAACACCTTGAATTGGGCCCAGACTTCAATGGGGAGCCAGTGAAGCTGACGGAGAACTGGCGTCATGTGAACATAACGTCCAGTCCCCGTCAGCAGCCTGGCAGCTCTATTCTGAACCAATTGAAGTATCCGGACCGTCTTCAAGGGTAGCCCCACGTAGAGCGCGTTACAGAAGTCAAGACGGGAAGTCACCAGCGCATGAGTCACTGTTGCAAGGCAGTCGTACTCCAGGTAGGGGCGCAGCTGATGAATCAGCCGAAGCTGGAGGAAAGCGCTCCTCGCCGCTGTTGTCACCTGAGCTTCAAGTGAAAGCTCCGGGTCGAGGAGCACTCCCAAGCTGCGGACCTTGTCCCTAGGAGGGAGTGCAACCCCATTCAGGACAAGGTTCAGGTCACCTTCTCCGAAGCCCGAACCGCCAACCAACAGGACCTCCGTCTTGTCTGGATTGAGCTTCAGTTTATTGGCCCTCATCCAGCCCATTACCTCGGCCAGGCACCGGTTCAGTACAGCCACTGCCTCACCTGGATTGGTGGAAAACGAGAGGTAGAGCTGGGTATCATCAGCATACTGATGGGTCCGCAGCCCACACCTCCTGATGACCTCTCCCAGCGGTTTCATGTAGATATTGAACAGTAAAGGGGACAAAATGGAACCCTGCGGTACCCCATGGCAAAGCTGCCATGGCGCAGAGCCATAGTCCCCCAACACCACCTTCTGGAATCGGTCGTTGAGATAGGAGCGGAACCACCGCAAAGCGGTGCCTCCGACCCCCAATCCCGCCAGCCTATCCAGAAGGATACCATGGTCGATGGTATCGAAAGCCGCTGAGAGGTCCAGGAGAACCAACAGGGACGCACTCCCCCTGTCCTTCTCCCTGCACAGGTCATCGTACAGGGCGACCAAGGCAGATTCAGTACCGTACCCGGGTCTGAAGCCGGACTGAAATGGGTCCAGATAATCAGTTTCATCCAAGAGTGCTTGGAGTTGTCCCGCCACCACTCGCTCTAACACCTTGCCCAGAAACGGGATGTTGGCCACTGGTCTATAGTTAGCGGCCATCCCTGGATCCAGTGACGCCTTCTTCAGGACCGGTCGGACTACCGCCTCCTTTAAAGGGGCAGGCACCCGACCCTCCCTCAGAGAAGCGTTAACCACTTCCAAGATCCAGGTTCCAATCCCGTGCTTGGAATCCTTTATTAACCAAGACGGGCAAGGGTCCAGAAGGCAAGTGGTAGGACGTACTCGTCCAAGCACCTTGTCCACATCATCGGGCCGCAATAACTGAAATTCATCCAATAATTCTGGACCAGACGGCAGCGTTGGTGTCTCCCTTAAAACCTCTGAATCAATAGTGGAATCCAGCTCGTGACGAATCTGAGCGATTTTCTCCCTAAAATGCTCGGCAAAGTTGTCACAGCGGGCCTTTGAGGGTGGAATCAGCTCTTCCTTTGGCCCTGGGTGAACCAGGCCTTGCACCACTCGAAAGAGCTCCGCCGGACGGCATTGTGAGGAGGCAATGGAAGCGGAGAAGTGTCTCTTTTTCGCCGCCCTCACCGCCACAGCATAGGCCCGATAGTGGGCTCTTAAGTGTGTTCGGTCAGATTCATCCCGTGATTTCCTCCACCTACGCTCTAGCCGTCTCCCAACCTGCTTCATTGCCCTCAATTCTGGAGTGTACCAAGGGGAAGAGCGGGCTCTGCCCGGTGGGAGAGGACGCTTAGGAGCGATCGTGTCTACAGCCCTGGTCATCTCCCCATTCCACAGTTCAACCAGAGCCTCGACAGGAGCACCCGTCTTGTCAGCCGGAAACTCCCCCAGAGCCTTCAGGAATCCTTCCGGATCCATCCGGCTCCGGGGGCGGACCCACACAATCGGGTCTGCACCCTTACAGAGGGAGATGTCGCTCTCGAGCACAAACCTCACTAGGAAGTGATCTGACCATGACAGGGGAGTCAAGCATAAATTCCTCACCCTCAGACCACCCTCTTCCTGCCCCGTCGAGAAAACCAGGTCCAGAGTGTGTCCACGTTCATGGGTCGGGCCGGTGACATGTTGAGACAGCCCCATGGCCGTCATGGAAGCCATGAAGTCCTGAGCCGCCCCGGTCAAACTAGCCTCGGCATGGATATTGAAGTCCCCCAGGACCAGCATCCTGGGGGTCCTCAACACCAGGTCCGAGACCGTTTCCGTCAGCTCAGGCAGGGAGACTGTTGGGCAGAAGGGTGCACGGTACACCAACAGAATCCCCAATCTGTCTCGGTCGCCCAAGACTTATTTTGCCCAGCTTGTGCTTTTTATAGAGGGTTATCATTAAGGATCCTCAAAATGCAGCCATGTATACCTGGGAAAACGCATTGCCCCCTCCAATGCGTTTCCCACAGAACCTTTGTCAACGTACTGTGGACTGTGGCATTTTGACAGACATTAAAAATCAGACAAGACATCAGGGTTCACATTTGAATCCCTGAGATCTAAACGTTTAAATTTTTACTTCTGAAATTTGAATACTTATAAAGAACAATCCAGTTCTAAGGGGACAGTTCATCAGAAAGTGGATAGGCAAGCCCTTTGAACTGAAAGGGAACTGCACCGTTATCCTCCAACTTAATTCATTACAATAGGAACTGTGCTGAAGAAGATCCTGTTGGATTGTGCCCTGAAGAGCTACTGATGCCTTCAGGGCAATAACGTTTCAATCTACCTCTCTTATTTTTATGCCTTGTTTCTTCCGGAAACTGAGAACAGGCTGTGCATCTGGGATTCAGTACATGTACTTGAAAGTCTGACATAATTAGGACAGCTTGTTTCAGAATTTCCATCCTGAAAATTCCCATTCTGATGTGTATTATGGTTGCAGAAGCATCAAGGGAACTCTTTGGTCATAAACCAGATGTGTATGTAAACTAATTAGAATCAATGATCTCAGAGTTGCTCAAGTTGATGTCAAGCCACAGCCATAAAATATAATCAGTGACGTATTTTCTTGCTCTTTTAAATATAATAAATTACTGTTATTTTAGGAAAACTGATTCAGGGATTCTGAACTACACACTCCAAACCACGTGCATTATCTGCTACTAAATATATACTAAATATACCAAGCACGTTTTTCTTTCAACAAACAGAATGGTAAGTAACTAATATTCTTTCTTGCTATTTTGTAGCCATTACGTTATATGGGATCCTGCACTATTGCTGCTGAAATGCCATTTAGCCCAATACTAAAGCATAATAAGGGTGCAATCCTGTGCATGTTTAGAGAAAACAAAAAGCCCTATAATTGCTCAGCTGGCTGTGGAGAATCCACAGTTGTAAGTTGTAAGACTTTTTTTCTGTCCAAACATGCATAAGATTTGGACAGAAATCCGAAAAAGCATTTTGTACAAATGGTCAGAAAGCGTGCTGCAAACTCGTAGTGCTGTTGTTGTTTTGGAGTGCATGTATTCGTATTTGTCACCGGGGCGTGATCTATTAATTGACACATCCTCAGAGAGAGGTTTCTGATCCTCCAGGTTTCAAAGATAAGCTTGGAAAAACGTTGAGTTGCGCCCTGCTTGACAGCACAGGAACTGAGCCTCTGGTTCAGTATTCAGGACGTTTCCTGTCTGGCTGCGCGTCTCCTGTCGCTAGGCTTTCTGGCTCCACAGTCTTCCCCAAACTTTCAGAGGACTCCTGTAAACGCAGCGCCTCTACAGGGATCCCCCGCGCTCGGGAACCCAAACACGTCCACCGTAAGCAAAGGAAGGTAGGCGGGTTCAACCCAGTTTTCTTATTGGCTTCTTGACAAGTCATTCTTCCGCCTTTTGACCAATCATACCTTTCTGGGGGAAAATGTCTCCCACTCCTCTATTAAAGCCTTGTTTCTCTGTTTGTTTGTTTCTTCTCTAGTCTTCTCCGCAGGTCCTCGCCTATCGATCAATAGTAGGCGTGACAGTATGCTCAACACCAACTGGCGGTCATTCAAGTCAATCTGTAATTCCACGTAAGCGATTGGGCTGCGGCGTTACGTCCGTCATTGTCAAAGCCGCTCTTTGCCATTGGCTAAACCAGACGTTCTCGGGAAAGGACAGCGATTGGCAGGATGAGGCAGCAATCTGAGGGGAGGCGGGGCCATGAGTGAACAAGCTGATTTCTGATTGAGCTAACGATGTAATTACTGAGCAGAGATTGGTCGCTCTTCAGTAGAATGGGCGGATCACACAGGGCGGTGCCCGGGCTGCTGAGGAGGAGGAAGATGGCGCCGTGAAGGGGGGTCCGAGCCGCTGCCGCGTCCTCTTTCTAGCCGGTGAGTGAGATTGGCGGGGCGGGCTTGGGGGTCGTGAACAAGTGGGAGGGGAAACCAAAGGATGGGAGTGGGGTGGCGAGTGGAGGAAGGGGAGGGGTCTGCGGAGTGGGAGGGGGCCTCCGAAGGAGAGGGGCCGGGTGAGCGCGAGCGGGACTGGAGCGACTGGGACCGGAAGGGGGCGGAGCTAATCCAGAGCCCGCCTCCTTGGGGACCCATAAGAAAAAAAGCAGGCATGGGAGACTGGGCAGGAGGGGTTACTGTCCATTGACTATTTCTATGTTCATAGGGTGGGGGACCTTATATAGTATAATGTGGTGACCTGCAGAGGGTGCTGGGAGTTTACTGTGGTTTGGGGTTTTTTTTACTTGTCCTGTTCCTTTAAGTGCAGGTTGAAGTCAAGCAAGTAAAGGGTTTCTGTAATACTTTGGCCTTCATACAGGAAGAAAGCTTATATCTCTTGATACATCTTTTCATGTCAGGCTGCTGTTAAAAGTAGCAGGAAGAGGAATGGTGCATCTGTGGAGCTGATATACTGGGCATGGAAAAAGAGCACAGGGAGAGAGAATTAAAAGATACAGAGAAGGTAGACTATGGCTGTCCCAGGGTTAACAGGAAAGGTTGGGAGGCTGAGCAGAAGGTGAGTTATTTAATGTACTGAGAAGTGAATGCCTACTGGGACTTGGAATATGAATGGATATTTTGTAGGCATGCAAAGGGGTATGTACTGGGTGCGTGAGGGCAGAGAGCAGATGTGCGTATGGGACATAACTGACAAGGGAAAGAGAAACTGGAATAAATAGGTATCCTTCTGGTTTTGGGCAGGCTGAGTAAGAGGAGGATTGTGAGGGCACTGGGTGCAAAGGGAGGCATGTGGTTTGTGGCCATAGTTAATAGGAGTGTCCTCACACCCATGAGCATCCTTTCCGAACTTGGACTTTAGCTGCCATCATCTCCATGGAATTTCTGCCAACTGGACGTTCTGGGTTACTATACTGAGAGAGGCTGTGGTACAGTCATACATATTTTAGTGCAGCAGGTTGTATGGCCACTTCTGAAAGCTACTCCTACACATACTATTTATTTTGTAGACTGTTTTTGGCTATTTGCTGAAATTATTACACAGAAATCTACAATCTTACTTGACATTGATATCAGTTTATTTGAGATGCAGTTGCCAAATTAGGCACTAGATCCTAGTTGTAGGGAGGGATTCTGTGGAAAAGGAGCTCATTGACTCATGTGTGAGGACTGGGGGTAATAGGAAGAGGTAGGAAAGAAAATTGCATACTCTGAGGGAACCTTAGCTAAAACACTATTACTTATCACCTTGCAAAAAATTACCAAGGTCATAGATTTTTCATCTGATTACTAGCTTTCTGCTTCTGCCTTAATCTAGGAGCCTGTAGTAATTAGTGATACGGGTTGTTTTCCCTCCTCTTTGTGTAGGAAAATATGCTCAGCAGCCAGTATGCTGTTGCTTTCCTGGACTGGGGTCCAAGGAGCTATAACAGAGAGTTTTCTAGCTGAATATACTAGTATAAATGAGTGAAATACTGCTGCTAACTAGGGTCAGTATGAAGGGTCAGCAAACCAAATAATTGGTCTAGGCACATGCAGCTTGATGCTCAATGTGCATGAAGCCACAGGTGAGATGTAACTGCTGCTTGTAGCTAAGTTCTTGACTTAAAGGAAAGCAAATGCTGTCACATCAGTTAATGCTTGTTTATTCAGTAATGTTCAGACTTCAACTAATAATGGTCATTGTGGCAATGGAGTGCTGTTCTCTGCTGAGTGTGATGTACAGCCAGCCAGCCTTCTGATTTTGAAGCTGCAGAGGCAGCTAGACTCTGTTGCCTGAAGGTGCTTGGTATGCCCAGTGATTGAAGTTGTTGGGTTGGCTGGTTCCATACTGAAGACTCATAGTAAAGTAATTGACTCCTATAAGCCATATCTGCTTTATAATATGTATCCATATTTTAAGCTTGCCTCCTTTTCTTCACCTTTCGCACTTTAACTATACATAGAATCATCACTGTTCACATCTGATCAGGTGAATTGAAGTCCACAATCTTGTGCTGCGATAAATTTGCCTTTGACTTTATGATGCCACAGGACTCCTCAATGTTCTTAATGCACAGACACCCTTTTGGAAATCCTCGCTACTGAATTAAGTGGAACTTAATGGTTAGAATTCTTCTTTTCTTTAAGCTCAGGCTGCTGAATCATTCCTTATAGATTGGATGGTTTTACCGACCTTAACGCTTAGGCAGGTTGGGACCTCTGCCATGTTAGTTCCCTGCTTTTATGTGAGCTTCTGGTATAATGTAGTCTAAACTGTGTGGGCCATTCTTTAATGGAGGTATGTTGATGCATGGAAAATCGTGCAAATTGAAATTGCTGGTCTTGCAAGTTGCAGATCACAAGTAAGAACTGTCTTTATGTGAATTTCCCTAACCCAGCACCTGTGGATATGTTGCACTCCAATACTCAGCAGTAATTACCCTAGTTGAGTAGCAAACTGAAGGCTGCCCAGCCAAGGTACTTTACATTTCTTACCAAACTTATGTGTACATTCATCTTGTCGTGTAGTTTAGGCTGAAAAACAGCCATTTGCCTGAGGCAAGTAGAAAAGTTGCAGTTTTCCCATAATCAAGATCAAGCTGGGAGAATGAATGGGTTGTTCTCTCCTCCCAGGCAACAGTAACCATCACAGCTGAGCACATTTCTCCCAGCAAAGAATGTGCATGACCATATTGGCCAGCACATCACTAAGGAGTACATTCCCTGGGACTAAAGTTTCAGGGCATGGTTAAAATAAGCACTTTCCTTCCTTTGTGTCTGGGTAACTGTTCTCTTGACTACTTCGCAGTTGTGCTGTTTTCTGATTTGCAACATACGGGCCTATGGATAGGGAATGCTTACTTGGATAAGGACAGCATAAGCCCCGCTGATGAGGAAGTAGCTTTATGCTTGTACCACACTGATTGATGCTGATGGCTGTGGAAAAGGAATAGGAAAATACCCGCTTTGCCTCTCCACAAAAGCTTTCAGAACCTGCTTAGAACTTAAAGTTACTTGAGACCAAATGCAGAGAACAAGTTCGTGGGTATGGTGAAAGAATTCTTCTGTAGGGTTTCTCATTGCTGCTGCAACACTCATTCTGAATATTCAAGCAGCCGCCACAGTGCCACAGCTTGCCCTTATGTGCAAACCCAGTGAGGGTGGGCTGTTCAGCTGCCTGAATCCCAGCAACCCATCCTTATGGGGTTCACATGTAATGACCACAGCAACAGTCTTTTTTCCTCTTTCTTCTGTATTGAAACAGGACAGGACAGTGGATGCACCTAACACCTAAGTACAGATGGGAATCATGCTTAGTAGTACTCCAAAAACAGCAACTTTTTAGCTCCTTCCCAAAGAGGAAAAATAATAAGAGAGTTTTGTAGCACCTTTATGACTAACAAATTTATTCAGGGATAAGCTTTTGTACATGCTACCCTCTTCATCAGATGTATGACGGCATGTCAGAATAATTTTTTTTGAGGGGCCACAAAGTCTTTGCTGTAAGAGACAAACACTGTTAATTCTTCTATAGGGAGATTTCCAGACAGTCTGGGGCATCCTAAATTAAATATTATTTATCCGCACTCTTATGTCGAGGCAGGGTGACATTTTTTTTGGTGGTGGTGGTGTCTCCCACTTCGTAGGATATCTCACAAGGGCAGGACACCAGTAACTGTATCAGTGAATTAGCCTTCACTTTCAAGACGACATTATTTTTAGGAAGATGTTGGGGAAAAATAAGAGGAACCTGAACTGGTAGTAGCCATCCTTTTCCAGAGAAACTAGAAATGAGGTGAGAGAATATGAGCACTCTTCCTCTAGCCCAATACATATAGCATGATTAGGATCAGTCCACAGATTCCCATGCTTCTTCACCGCTCCTCTGCTGTCTGACTGCACCTAAGGGTATAGTGAATATGAAGCTCTACTTGCTGTATGAAAACAGGATCCCAAGAAGAGATTCTACCACTTTGTTCATTACCTTCTACATACAATGAGGTGAATGAGGTAGAACAATCCCACGACACCTGAAAGAGGGGAGTAGAAGTTACACAAGCCCAGTAAGTGTCACCAGGGGAACAGAATGGGTAAATTTCACTGTCAAGCATTATTGACACCCATCTTTCCCCAGCACTAATATGAATGCGTGCAGCATAGTTGTCCCCCTCTTCTGATCTAAAATTGTTGTTGGAACCTCATTGTAAGGGAAGGTCTTAGCCCAGTGTGAACACTGTTCAGCACTAAACAGAGTGCTTGTGGAACAGAAATCCTTTACAAAGGGTCAGTAAGCTTTGAACTGAGTGGATGGATGGAGAAGTCAGCCATTCTTAATACTGTGGCACTGGTGGAAGGAGGGAGAGCTTGGTTGTCATTTACTAGGCTGAACTGTGAGCCTCAAAAGTCCTCCAGCCAGAGCTGGGCAAGAACATTCTTTGTAGCCTCAGTCATGCCCTGTGTCAACCCCATTATGCAGATCATAATACTAGCCTATATTCCAGGCTCCTTGTATATACAGCTGAAATAATGCATGCAAATCACTTTTAAAGCACCATAGCTCTGTATATTCATGGCTGTTGGATGGACCATTTTTCTCCTTACATATTTATAAGGCTGCATTGTACCTGAAAAGGGTAGCAAAAATACAAAATAATTATTTACTGGGACTATATATATTCTGTAACAGGGATGGGATAACAAGACCATAGATATCTGCCACTTTTCAGTAAAGCAGTTGGCTTCAAAATACTAGGTTTTAAAACTTCATATTAGGTGGGCCACTGTTCCTGGGAACTGGTTTGTTTATAAGACCTCTGACAGACTTCTGCAACCTGGCATCTTCCAGATGTGCTGGGATCGGAGCTCCCATCATCCTCACTCTGCATGGCCCATTGCTGACAGAATGATTGGAGTTGAGGGCTCAACATGCCTAGAGGATGCCTTGTTGGGAAGGCTTGTCTGTCACAGGAAGTCAGTGAAAAATTGTTAAGGGTACTAAAGTTTTTTCTCTTCTTTCTTTCCTGACTGTTGGAAATCCTGCTTACTTCACTCGGCCTCCTGCCTTTTTGCCAGTCTTTTCCTTTGTGTTTTCAAATTTGTCTCCACAGCTGTGAAATCTAGACACTTGCTTCCAAAACACCCACACAAGGCTATGAACATTTGGAGAATAATCCTAGTGTAGAAGTTACAATGTATATTTTCAGCATGCACCAAGACACCAGTGAGTTTCACCACCTTGTAGCTTGTTCCATGCTACAAAACTTAAGTAAATGCAGTGTTTTTATGTCATTTTGTTTTGGGACTCATGAACAGTATAAGGAATTTTCTTTAAGTTACTGCCAGGCTTTGACAACACAGTCATTCAAATAATGGATTCAATTATGCTGAGATTACAAAAGATCAGAACTTATTAGTGTTTTCTCTTTCCCTCCATACTAGATGTGATTAAAATTTGTTGAAAAGACATTGGATCAAACCAGATTTTAAAAAAATTACATTTGCCTCTCAAACATCACTAAGTTTATTTTCTGACTTAAGCTTGTATTGATGGCATTCTCACCAAATGGTTGTTTCTAGCATGGCGCAAACATTTACTAATCTAGTCAGTTCATTAAAATATTTTCATTTTTTTTAATCAAAAGTTTTAAAATCAGTTTTTATCTCCAATTCTGTACCAATCTCTCAGATATTTGTGGGTGTTATTGTAGGCATCAAAAAACTATTCCCCATTTCCTTTTTCAGATCCAGAGGACAGTATGGCTGCCACTGCTGCTGTCAGCCCCAGTGAATATTTACAGCCTGCTGCATCAACAGCTCAGGTAGGTTTTTAAAAATGTTTGTGACTTGGTTGTGCCACTGTTTAAGAAGGCCTCGAATCTCTTGCCCAGGCCCCAGTTACGTGGAAAACATTTAGTTGAAGGTTCTGTGGAATAAAATCTTGCTGCCTCACAACTAAAGAAAGATGTTGGCTGACTTAGGGTACAGACTTGTCCAAATTTAGAAAGAAAAAGGGCCTACACCTATGCTGGCTGGGGCAAGCTGGGAGTTACAGCCACTTTTTTCCTGCCCAAAATTGCATAGGACTGCACTTTTATTAGACTTAGAACCCAGGTTCAGAGGCAGAGAATTTGATCTGCCTAGAAGACCAAGGGCTCATTATCAGGTCTAGAATATTTCAAATTCTTGGGTGCCATTGTTGAAATTTTAAAAATTCAACATCAGATTGCTAGAGTTAGTCTTCTGGGTTTCTGAATTTACATTTCAGTTATTATAGCAAGTATTGTAATGCTATTATAGGAATCATTTGGAATGTTGGTGTAGCTTATGCCACCTGAACTCAAAAAAGGTACCGAATATGGGAAAGATTCAACAAAAAACATTCAGGGGAATTGAACATCATCTTTGTCATTTAGGGCAGGATCCATTGGGCATGCCCATAACTCTCCAAACTCAGAGAATAATGGGCAGAGTGGGAGGAGCATGCAGACAAAGTTGAAACTGAAAAACAATAAGTTCAGCACTAAGTAGGACTAAATGCTGGCTCCAAACTCGTATCTTGGTTCATTTTAAAGATGCTGCAACATTGTTTGATGTTTATGCCTCAGCAGAAGAGCATGTTGGAATTTGAAAATAGCAAATATAGGAATTTGAAAATTCTTTATCCTAATCTTGGAATTCTTCACTACTGCAGGATGTGGTGATGGCCACTATTTAGAGGGATTTAAAAATAGTGTTGACAAATTAACGAATGATCAGTGGCCTATCACAGCTGCTTATCCATTACTATTCCCAGAGTTTGCTGGGTGATTACACAGACATCAACCCAGTGGTGAGCTGATTAAAATATGCTGACTAGGTCGAGAGGCAGACTAGGAAACAAACAAATATGACACATAGGGTATAATCCAGCAGAAGCCTCTTCTGTGCAAGTCCTATTGAAAGCCTATTCATTTTAGTGACACTCATGCAGAAAAACCCTGTTTTAATTAATGAACAAGAGGTACTCTTTGAACTTTCTGCTTTGAGCTCCAAAATGCCTTTGACTGCTCTGGCTAGCATTGTTCACAGTATTGCCTGTACTGTAAAGATAGCTTTTTCCTTTGGAATGGTGATATATGGGAAAACAATCTAGAGACTGGCGTTGTTGTTGTTGTTGTTGTTGTTGTTGTTATTATTATAACATTTCTATGCCGCCCCTTGCCGAAACCTCGGGGCGGCTTACAACATGATAAAATACATTGAAATACAATAGTACATAATAAATTACCATTAAATATAAAAATACAAAAAAATACATTGATTTACAAATACAAAATTAAAATTATCAGTATAAAATAAAAATATAGGAGGAGAAAGAGAAGGAAGAAGAAGTTGCCCAGGCCAGATCATATGTTTTAACAATTGAAATGATGTTTAAATAAAAAGGTCTTTACCTGGCGCCGAAAAACCAGTAACGACGGTGCCAGGCGGACCTCTTTGGGGAGTGAATTCCATAGGTTGGGCGCCACCGCAGAGAAAACCCTCCTCCGGGTACTTACTCTCCTAATTTCTTTCATGTTGAAAGAAATTTCATAATTTCTTTCATTGTTGCCCATGTTCTCTAGCTGCCCCATCATTACTGACCATGAGCCATGCTAGCTTGGCCTTACGGGAGTTGTAGCTCAAAACATCTGGGTATATCAGGCTGCCTATCTTGTCTGTGTTTCTGGGACAAGAATGATCCCTTCAACTAAAATGTAGAAATGTCTATCTGCTGTTGCCATCAATTGCAGTGGGTGGATGGGGGATACCGTATTTTTCTGTCAATAAGATGTCCCCATGTATAGGACCCCCCAATTTTCCTACCCATCTCCAACGAACAAGCTGCTGCCACGCATGCTGCCCCCTGCCCGCCCCCCCCCACATGTGCCCGCGGCCCCCCTTCATTTTTAAGTAAAATGTTTTTAAGAAAAAGTAGCGTCTTATACATGGAAAAATATTGTATGTTTCCAAGAACATAATTTGAAACCAGTTGTGGGCTGATGGCCAATGAGAAGGGGAGTAGCTCTACATTCAGCTCCCCCAGGAAGCTAAAGAGTCCAGGGATTTCATTAAAAATTGAATGTTGGAACGTCGCTTTAACTGAGCCACAAGCAGGATTCAGGTACTTTCCCCACCCTTCAATAAAATAGGATCAGGTAAGAAGTTTTCCTACAGGTATCTTCTTCCCCACCCCATTTAAAATATGAAGCCATTAAGGATCTATAGGAAGAGTAGCAAGCATTTGCGATAAGTTGTGCATGGGAGGGAATATCAGAATAGACTTTGATGAATATGAAACTGGAAATGTTAAGTAGAAACTGTTGAGAAAAATAGGATATGAAATGTTGAAATCTTTTCTCCATTTCTTTTATCATTATCATTTATCCTCCAGTGTATGTTAGGAAGATATATAATAGATTACTTGTTATAAACAGTAAATGAAAAGTACATTTTTAAAATAAACTCCCTCTCCCTGTAGTAACTGTGTATGTTGCTCTGTAGCATCAGCATTGTATTTACCTAATCCCAAGGTTTTAGTTTTATGAGCTTCCCCACCCACCCACTTCAAATATTTCTCAAATCCTCCATGTGCCTGGTCACAGCAAGCACTTTGTCTTTTGAAATGTAATTGCATTAAGTGTTCACTCACATCATTCTTATGTACTGTCTGGTTGCTTATTCCCTACACTTAGTTTTTGTTTTCATTTTATTGTTTACTTTTTTGAAACTATTGGTGGGGGGCATCGCCTCCAGCTACCTCTATTTTCCTATATTATCCTTAATTACATTACCATCAACATCAAATTTTATTTCAAGAGGATTTTATTGGTGGATTGTTGCATTAGGATGTATGGGAGAGGGGCAGTTCGCTGTACTACTTAAACATTTCCTTCTCTATAAAACTTAACATTCTTCAGTGCTGAGGAATTTATTTTTAGAAAGTATTGCTAGTACAGTTGCTTATGATACTGACAGAAAGAATACATTTATAATTGAGACTTCTTACTTTTCCATTCTGTGTTACTTTTGTAGTTCAGAAACTTTTTCAATTCCATTGCAGTAGCCATGTGGATTCATATAACTAAGAATCTAGAAGAGATCAAACAGTGCCTTGTATTTTGTCCAAAATGCTAAAGGAAGCTTTCAAGTCATAGAATTTTTCAAGGCAAAATGAAGGACAACAATATTGCTTTGTTAGGGAGATGCCCGACTTGCCACTTCCGCTTTCAGAAGCAAATGATGGATGTATGCAGATATTGTGATTCTATTTGCCCAAACAGAAGTACATTTGTTAAAACTCTGGTATGCCCTCCAGCCGTCTTTATGAAGATGAGCCCTGCTTTGTGTGAAACAGTACGGAAGCTGCTTAAAATTGTATCCTGCTGCATATGATGAGCTGCTTGTGGGTTGCTTCTGATTTTCCAGACCCTGCACTCTGAGCAGGTTGCCGTGTGGCTTTTCTCCATAGTGCTAACAGTAGCATGGACGAGACTTGATGGTGTCACCAAATGTATATGGCAAGCTGTTGCATCTATAGACGTCTGGGTTGCTTGGAGTTTGTGTAAATGCGTCTGGAAACATTTAAAATGCTGAATAAATAGGAGTATAAACATCCTCTTTCAAGTGTGTTCCTTCTTCCCAGCCATCACAAAAGTTACAGCTTCTTATACTAGAGGAAGCAGAGCCCAGTGCAGCTTCAAGTTTATCTCCCACATTTCATGAGAATAGAGTGGAAAACAATCTGCATTATATGCTCTTGGTATTAAAATATGTGAGAACAGTACAGAAGTAGGGACATTTTTTTCACAAAAGCACCTAGTGTTGTTCGCACAAATAGTTAGATCTTGGCAGTGGGATTCACATTCCAAAAAGCTCCTTCATAGTAGAGGTGCGGCTGTAATCAAAAACCATTGTTCTGTTGGGTAATAAGGAATAAAAGGTAACTTTATCTCTGGTTTCATCTGTACCACATAGAACCCTTTGAAGCAGAGACCAGGGAAAGTGCTGTAGCTATTTTATTAACACAGTCTAATGAGAATCTAATGTTGTGTAAATATAGAACAAGAACCCGTCTCTCAGTTGCATAAATCTGAAATGATCCCTGCACATTGAGCTTCCTTTCCTGCTAGCTGGGCTATGTTGATCTGAAGCAAACTGTTAATTTGCTAACTTGCCGCTGATGTAATCCTGTCTTTTCCATTCCTGTAGGATTCTCAGCCATCTCCATTAGCCCTTCTTGCAGCCACATGTAGCAAAATTGGCCCTCCAGCTGTTGAAGCAGCCGTCGCCTCTCCTGCTCCTCCTCAGCCTACACCTCGGAAACTAGTCCCCATCAAGCCTGCTCCACTTCCGTTGAGTTCTAGCAAGAACAGCATTGGAATCTTGTCATCGAAAGGAAACCTCTTCCAAATTCAGGGCTCTCAGCTTGGGACATCGTATCCTGGTGGGCAGCTGGTGTTTACCATCCAGAACCCAGCTGTGATCAATAAAGGGGCCCGTTCACCTGCCAACATCCAATACCAGGCAGTTCCACAGATTCAAACAGGGTCGGGGCAGACTATTCAAGTACAGCAGAACTTAGGCAACCAAATACAGATTATTCCCAGTACCATCACTTCTTCCTCTTCTTCCTCTTCATTGTCATCCTCCTCTTCCTCAGCTCATAAGCCTGTGCCCATCAAGCCAGCACCAGCTCACAAAACACCACCAACAGCTATCCACAACACCAGCAATGTTGTTAAGTTGACTGGCACAGGTGGTAATGTCACCCTTACCCTGCCAGTGAGCAACCTTGTAAGTGCTGGAGACACTGGCACTCAGACTCAGATTGTCCCAGATAGTCCCTCCAAACCAAGCAAAAAGGCCCGGAAGAAAGCAGTGTCACCAGCCCAGACTTCAGCAATGGCCGTGACAGAACAAGTGGAAACAGTCTTGATAGAGACCACAGCTGAAAATATTATCCAGGCAGGGAACAACCTCTTGATTGTGCAGAGTCCTGGATCTGGCCAGCCAGCAGTGGTCCAACAGGTGCAAGTGGTCCAACCCAAACAGGAACAGCAGGTTGTTCAGATTCCCCAGCAAGCTTTGCGTGTTGTCCAGGCAGCTTCAGCAACACTCCCAACAGTTCCCCAGAAGTCCCCACAAAACTTCCAGATCCAGACAACTGAGCCGATTCCCACTCAGGTATTGGATTGGTTTTTTTCTGTGTGATTTTGTGGGTTATAAGTGCTTTACCTGTTTAAGCACTGCCAGCCAGAGAACCCCAGATGATTAAAAAATGCAAGAAATATTGTGGTATTGCAAGTTAGATTTGCCTGAAATTCTAGAATAAAAAGAGGATGAAAAGAAAATCCAACATAATTTCTTTAGCATAATAAGTTACATAAACAGTGGAACATTATATGCATAATGTTAGAGTGACTTTTCTGGTAAATATTCAGAGTTGATTTGTAAGTAGTCTGGCATGCAGTCCTCTTGATCCAGGGAAGATGCAAATTTTTGTAGTGGAGTCTGCTGTCCTTTAAGATGGACTCCTGTATTACACCCTGCCTTCCACCCGAGGATGTGCACTGTCCTCCAAGGCGCACCCTTTTCTTGTCTCTGCCTGCTTTCTTCTCCCGTGTTGCTCTGGATCCAGTCCCATCCATTTCTGTATTAATTTCTAACTTAATCCATCCTTAGAGACCATACCTGTGTGAAAATAAAGTCTTCTAGAATGAAATTTCTATTCAGCAGTGTTTCAGTCAACTCTGATTGGCAGACTGAATGTGTGTAATAAGAAAGTAATTAAATACAGATATATTTAAGTTTATTTCATTTTATTTTAATGATTTACATATGTTTAATTTCATTTTGCATCTGTTAATTTACAATTATTATTACTGACAGTAAAAAACCCAATATAAACATATTATTTCTGATTTTTATTGAAACTACGAGGCTAAGAAAAATGGGAAGATAGATTACTATCTTATGCCATATAGCATGCTAGTTTTCCTTTTCATAATACTAATGGTAACAACTATATTCCTGGAAAATCTAGCCTGTGACCACACTGTTGTTCATAATTAAGGTGCTATGACCCAGTTCACCTATCGTGGCAGCAAATTGTGAGTTAATTGATCTGTGAGATATGCAGATCATGTGACTGTCTCCAGTTTGAAAAACAACCTGTGAACAGTCTGAGCCTAAAAACAAATCATATGTTAACACTGAGTTTTTTAACCCATAAACAACCCAGAGTGTCACATAGCAGCCTAGGCCACAGAGCAGCCTATGTATTGGGTGCCCATAGGATGTTTATGCAAAGTGGAAGTGGCATCCATGCAGTGTGTGTCCTGGCAAATTGTGATTGACTCACGGTTTGCTGCTGGAGCTTGCAGAGCAGCTCAATGAAGATACCTTACGAGAGTAATGCAAATACTCCGAGTCCCACCCTGGAATGGCAACAAGATGGGGGCTTAACAAAAGCATAATAATTTCACGCAACGATGGGGGCAGTGGTTACTTTGAGGGAATGGGTATTTGATTATCATATGACCAGTATCTGTACTGGAGAAGTGATATAAAATGTGATAAAACCAAATGAGATGCTGATTTTCACTAGGTTCCCTGTGTCTGCCTTTGAGGAAAGTGCAATATATAAGCAGCAGGGAAAGGGAAGTTCAGGTCCAGGGTCCCATCTGGCCTGGAGGTCTCTAGATGGCCAGAACTCTTTCTTCCAACTACTGATAGTTTGATGTAGTTTCCAAACTATTTTGCAGCTTATTTCCTCCATTCTAAAAGGTTAAAATTCCTCTTCTGACTGACAGTAAGGGCTTTGCAGTTACAATCCACTGGGAAGCTTTTGTTTGCTATTTTTATCCTTACCCCATTACCTCTGGCCCCTGCTGCCTTCACTTTGTCCTTGCCATACCCACCACTAGAAAGCGTCAAATGAGAACTTTCTGGAATTGAATTGAATTGAATTGAATTGAATTGGGGTGAAAGAGGTTCCCCACCTCTAATACACAGGAAAGTGGTAAAAGGATAGCTTTGCGGAAGACCAATGTGGAAAGTTGCACACTGCATACCTTCCCTTTTTGTACCCTTCCTTTAGGTCTATTTTAAGACGCCTTCTGGTGAGCTACAGACAGTGCTCCTCCAGGAAGCCCCAGGTGTCACTGTGGCCCCTTCCCCTACTGCTTCCTCTGCTGCCTCGTGCAGCAGTCCTGTGCCCCGCAGTTCCCAAACAGGAGGAAGTACCAAAAAGACGGGGGCTCGCAAAGAACGTGCTCTGCCAAAGATCGCTCCCGCTGGAGGGATAATCAGCCTCAACGCAGCTCAGCTCGCAGCTGCTGCTCAAGCGATGCAGACCATCAGCATCAATGGCGTGCAAGTTCAAGGTGTTCCTGTCACCATCACTAACACTGGAGGTGAGAGATGTAATGCAATCGTCCTTTGATGAACAGTGATTCCCGATGGAGGTACAAGATACCAGCTTCCTGATGGGATATGTTGTTTAAAGTTTTGGGAGTGTAGCTATTCGAGAGATTAGATCAGGAAGAGGACAAAATAGAGTTGTGTGCTCTGTACTGTGCTTGGGGGAGGTGGAAAAGAAACTTGAGGGGAAGACACGGGAGGATTGCTGTTGTCAGCAAACTTACTAGGTAGTACTTTGCATTGAACAAAGTGGCATATACTTCCTAGTGAATCTGCTTTACTAGGTTGCATGAAGGATGTCCTTGGTCCTGTAAGCTCAACATATATTTAGCTAGGTTGTTTTTCCAGTCTTCACTGGTTGGACAGTCTTCTGCTTTCCATTGTGTTGCAATTGTAACTCTGGCTGGAGTTATTATATATTTAGATAATTATCCCATATTTCTTGGAAGACATTCTAGTAAGATATTAAATTACATATTCTTGGCATTCATTCATTTTCAATTTTTTCTGTATGTATGTATGTATTTCTTTCCAAAACCTTTTAACCTTATTACACAGCCATCACTTATGGTAAAAAGTCCCTTCCACTTCTTTGCATTTCCAACACTTTCCAGTATAATTCTTACCCATTTTTTTAATATCCTTGGGGGCAATATACCAACAAAAAATTATACCTATTCTCTCTTAATGTTTGGCTAGCTGTAAATTTTACTCTTTTCTCCATCAAGTTTGCCATTGATGGAAGGATATTTCTCCTCCAAAATTCTGCATCCAACTTATCAATACATTGTTTAACTTGTTCATTTTACTTATTTATTTAAAGTTTTTGTATGCTGTCCCCTTGCTATATGGCCTCGGGACGGCTCAATTTCTATATCATATTGCAATAATAAGTTGTAGATTTGTCCTAGTAAATTATCTTTTTTGCTATGAAATCAACTTTTCAAATTCTGTCAAATCTCTTATGGTACCTCTTCCTTCTTGGATTTCTCTTCTCAGTCTTGAGACCAGTTGGAAGTAAGGAAGTCATTCTATCTTTTTCCTTTTAATATTTGCCAAGATTTGATACTTTCTTGTTGATCCATCATATCTCCATATTTTATGAAAGCATTGTTTTTCCTTAAATAGTTGTCACAGTATGCCTCTATTGGAGACATCAAAGGGAATATTGGAGGGCTAATTCTTCTTAAAGTATTCCAATTTCTTTTTTAGACTATCTCTAATTATATGCTTATAATTTTGTGTTGGGTCTTTTTTAATCGATTTGTTGGCCCACAGGCACTTATGTATTCCTTCTTCTAGGTCAGCTATTTCCAGCTTTATTAGTCTTTCTTCAGGATTTTTAATCCATTCTGTAATCCAGACCCATCCAGCTGCATAGTAGTATAATTTTTTATTAGGTAATGCTAGACTTCCCTTTTCTTTTGCATCTTGTAGTATTTCAAATCTAATCCTTGGTTTCTTCCCATTCCAGATAAAGGTAGTCAGTTGGCTTTGTTATTCTTGTAGGGTTTTTTCTTTCTATGAAAATTGGTATTGTCTGAAATAGAAAGTTCAACTTTGGAAGCATATTCATTTTTATAGTAGCAATTCTTTCCAGCCAAGGCCTTTTTTTATTTGGACCATCTCTGTAGATTTTTTGGGATCTTTGCCAACATTATTTTATAATTGTCTTGGCATACTTTATTATGTCCACTCACATTTATTCCCAGATACTCAACCAGATTAGAAGTTATTTCACCTCCTGAGATTTTTTTATTAATATTCTCTTCTGTTAGAAATTTTAAAATATTTTTGTTTGATTTTTGGATCTTGTCTTATCTTTGTGGCTAAGACTTCAATATAAGAATAAGGAGTGGTGATAGCAAAACATGTCAGGGATGTCCGTTATCTGTTTGAAAACCATTAGTCAGAGCTCTGTTTATTAAAATCTTTGCCTGTTGTTTTGTACAAATTGCCTGAATCCAGTTCATGAATCTTGGACCATGGTTTAAATAACAAATTCTTTAACAGAATAGACACATTATCAAATGCTTTTTCGGCATCTACATACATAAATGCAGCTTTCTACTTTCAGCTTTCATAATATAGCAAGATATCAGAGCGGGGAGGGCAGACAGCTGTGAAGCTAGAGCTCCAGTCAGGACTAAAGCCAGAGACAGTGTAGTTGAAAATGAGATACCTCCCATAAAGGGCTGGGAAGGATATCCCTGGATCCATGCAGGAATGAGATGCAGGGCTTGCACCTAAAAAGGCAACAGAAGAACAAGTTAAGGAAGGACAATGCAAACTGAATTCTGAGACATGTGCTGCTTTTGCCTAACCAGTTTGCCCACCACTCATTTTGGACGCATCTTAATGACGGAGAGACCCTGAGCCACACCATCATCATCTCTCTTCCTACAGGCCAGCAGCAGCTGACAGTGCAAAATGTCTCTGGCAACAACCTGACCATCAGTGGCCTGAGCCCCACCCAGATCCAGCTGCAGATGGAGCAAGCACTCCTGGGGGACCTGCAGCCTGGGGAGAAGAGACGGCGGATGGCTTGCACCTGCCCCAATTGCAAGGATGGTGAGAAAAGGTAAGGTCAAGCACTAGAGAGTTCTAGGAAAGGATACCCAACCCCCCCCCCCAAAAAAACCAACAACCTTTTGCCAGCCAGCCTACTACTTGGTGCTACTTGGGCAATTTGAAGGGGCTGTCAAAATAGGGATTATGAAAGGTAGTTGAAAAGTGAGTAATTGCTTTTTTGATCTCTGGGGGAAAAAGGTGAAATGCCAAAAAGTTGGAGGGAGCTGAAAACAATGCCTTATTGTGGAGAAGAGTGAGGGAAGCTGGTGTCAGCTCCCTTGGGATGCTGGTCACTTACCACTGGATGTTACCTCATGGTAGGATTGGTCATTCAAGTTCAGATGACTTGACAGGCCAACACCTGAATGCAGTGACCAGGAGCTGTCTCTTTTCAGCATGCCGCTCCATTGCTGAAGGTACTGTTCTGGCTACCAATTGCCACCTGGCCAGTACTAAGGTTTTAATACTAGCGTACCAAGCCCTGAACAACTTGAGGCCAGGATTCCTGACAAGAGTACCTTCTCCTGTAGCAGCCTGCCCAGTCACTGAGGTCATTGGAAGACATTCTCCTAGTGGTTCCCTGGGCTAACAGGAGTCTACCAAGAGGAAGAAACTTCAGTGTAGCCGCTCTATTTCTGTAGAAGTCCTTACCTTGGAAGGTTAGACAGTACTGTTTCTGGTGCCTGCTAAAGACAATCTTATTTGGGGAAGCATTTTCTTGTTGATCAGCCACAGTCTTACTAGATTTTTTTGGTAAATGTTTTTTTACTGTGCTGTTTGTATTTTTTATTTGTTTCTACCTCATTCTGGTCACCACTCTGGAATCTGCATGTGGAGCTGGATGGATGGATGCTGTGTGAACCAGGTTGCTGTTTTGTCACCTGTAAATGGTCATTGCAGAGACCTTGATCATAAAGAAAACTGATTTGATTATATTGAGTGTGAGGCAACACAGTTCTCAGAAGTTGCAATGCTTTTGGGGTTGCTGCTGTGATGATCCATAGGTTGGAAAGCCATGAGAGTTCAAGCAGTCTTGGCGCATTGCTGGGAACTCAAGTGGTGTGAAACTCAAGGTTATTGCCAGATAGGGCAGTGTTTTTGGAGTCACTGGGATGGAGAAAGGCAAGCTGGTTGCAAGATCCCCATTCAGCCTGATGTCACCCTTCCTTCAGAAAGCTCAGGGCAAAGCTTTCTAAAGCTTTACTGTGTTAAAGATGACCAGGTAGGCTGCGTTTGAGAGACGTAGAGAGAGAATTGTAGAAGTCAAAAAACAAGACAAAAACCAAAAACAAGCAAAGTTAGAATATTGGCCTTTAGGGAAATGCAGCTTAATGATACACAGTTGATTCCAAACTGAATACCTCTCCTCCCTTCTAAACCAAGAGGAGCTGATTCCACCATTGACTTGTGTGCCAGTTGCCTGGCGTGTCTGACATTGCTCAGCTGGTATTCAGGCTAAGGATGTTGAGTGCTTGTTGCCATATCAGCTTGCTCACTAGACTTACCCAATTGCTGATTCTCAATGGCTTATCTCTGGTCTGTTAGCCTTGGCAATTCGGCTGAGAAGTCCAGCCCTCCTCCACTTCTGTATCAGAATCCAGTTCAACAACCTTTGAAGGCTGTATTTAGTATAGAGGGAGTGGGCCCAATCATTACATCTATGTCTTTCCTGTGCTCTCCATTGGCAAAATGACTAATGCCGCAGGAAGAAGGCTGCATCTCCAAGGCGCATTATCAGGACATACGTGATGCATTGTTGGAGGTGGCACAGGAGGCCATAGGGTGTTGCTAGACACAAATGTTGCATGTGTTCCTTGGTATCAGCTGGCAGTGATGCTCGTCCCAAGAAGAGACAGGAATTAAGTGGCCTTGAGATGCCACCCAGGGGTTCTCAGGTCTTCACACACTTAAGACTGTGAACCTCTCCCACCCCCTTTTTTTCCTTCCAGGTTGGGGGATCAGGGGAAGAAGAGACACATCTGTCACGTGCCTGAATGTGGGAAGACCTTCCGTAAGACTTCTCTGCTGCGTGCCCACGTGCGCCTGCACACCGGCGAGCGTCCCTTTGTCTGCAACTGGGTCTTCTGCGGAAAACGATTCACACGCAGCGATGAGCTGCAGCGGCACGCCCGGACACATACAGGTTTGTCCTGTCATCCTACCGTTTCCCTCCCGCACTGCACTTGTACACTCTAGTACTGGCCATATAGTCATCATGGGTAAGGAAGAAACACTATACTCAGAGTTGCTTCTCGCATGTTTTCTCAGTCCACTGTACAACACCCGTAAGGCAGGCATGGGTTGTTGCTGTCCTGTCATGGGTTGTTTAATCCACAGTGGTTGGGTTCAGATGACATGCTACAACCCTGTTGGAGTTTGCATTTTCATAATGGCAGGTGTCATGGCTCATTGTGGGTTAAATCGCCTTCATAGCAATTTCAGTGCTATCACTGAAACCAGAACCTCAAGCCTGCGGCCACATTCAGTTCTCTAGGATTTCCTCAAGTGCATGCCACTTTCCCTTGGCCCCACTCAATTGCCTTTTCTGTAGTCCCCCCCCCCCCATTCTTAAAAGCTAAAATGTATCTTCTAAGGCTTAGGTACTGTGGTAAGAGCTTGAAACAAACTATGCTGGTATTTTTGTTTGTTCAGCCCTTCCCCTTCTGTCTTCAACCCTGCCCACCCCTCAGATGCATCCCCCAAGAATTCTCTGAAATGGCATTTGGCCCCTAGACTAAATGAGGTTCTGCTCTGATAAAAGCCTCAGTAAAGCCCGTTTCATTGTAAGTATTGCCACCCCCTGGATTATGTTGAATTTGCATAGCCCTAGTTGCACAGTAGCTATTTATAAATGGGAGAGGGTATATTTAGAAGTTTGTGTGTTCTGTCTCCTTCATTCATGAGGAGGCTGCTGTAAGTTACGCTGTGATAAGGTATGCTAAACTTCTTCAGTAGTTTCAGGCTTTCTCGGGCCCTTTGTAACATAAAAATGGCCTCAGAGCAGAACAGGTCCAGCATTCTGTTTCCAGAATTGCTTCTCCAGAGGGCCGTAAGAGGCTTATGGGCTGGACAGCTTCCTTGCTGTGAATTTCTGTACGTGGTGATTCCAGTTAGCTGCCGTGGCTATCAGGTACATTAAATTGTCTCATCTTTCAGCACAGTCCCATCTAAATAAATGCTCATCATCATCATCTCTTTTATAGAGCTATTGTTCACTCTGTCATGCATGCTCAATACTGCTCTTGTTTCTTCCCTTGGACAGGTGACAAGCGTTTTGAGTGTGCCCAGTGCCAAAAGCGCTTCATTAGAAGTGATCATTTGACAAAGCACTATAAAACCCACCTGGTCACCAAGAACTTGTAGGGCTGGATGCAACTGGGAAAAACAAGGGAGTAGTGTGACTGATGGTGAACCCTTGCCATCAGGGATAGTTTCTGCAGTGGACAGAAAAATGCCCAAGTAATGCTCCTGACTGGGATATCAGCTTTCCCAGGCACATCTGTGCAAGGAAAGGAGCAACAGCCACTGTTCCTTCCATCAGATGGCCTCCACCTTCTGGCACACTCCTTTAGAACTTCCTGGAAGGTGCATCAGATGCTGTGGCTTCAGCCTGGGATGAAGAAGGAGCAACATCAGTTCCAAGTGAATTAGCTAAAATCAGCACAAAGCAGGGACGAGATGGGGAGACAGCAAGGCAGAGCTCTTCCATCCTCCAGCTGGCCTCAGGAGCCTGCAAAGCAAGCGCCCTACTACGCTGCACCAAAGGGCCTCCTTGTGTGTTCGACGGTAGCACCAGCGAAACTATACCCCACTTGTGATCTTGGTTCCCTCTTCCCAACCACCCCCATGTGCTTGTGAAGCTTTTGAATGGGGGACAGGGAAGCCATCCAAAATGGGATTCTCTGTGTTCCTCCAGCACATTCCTACTTTATATTTAAAATTATAAATATCTATATATATATATATATATCTATATCTATATATTAAAAAACCTCCTTAGGAAGCCCCCGTTTTTTCTACGAAGAATGTTGCCTTATATTTTTCCCCCCCAAGTTCCAAATTATGTATTGTGAGCAGGTTTTTTTATTTAATGATTCCTTTTTTAAAAGCAAAAAAATCAAACCCTCGCCCTGCCTAAAACTGCGGGCACAGCTCAAGGTCCCTGCACTGCTGCAGAGCTGTGCACCCAGTCAGTGCCATTTATGAGTTCTGAACTAGGGAATGCTCTGATTGTGCACAGGGATTTAGGCTGTGCGAGGCAGTAGCACTTTGTTCAAGAGAGTGGAGAATGTATGTTTGTGAACGACTGGACCATAGCCATGTGCCCTGATCCAGACGACTGCAGGTGCAGCAGAAAGCTGAGCATAGACGTGATGCTTGAGGAACCCTATGGGTCTCTGCATTGCTTTGTTTGCTGAGTTTCTGTGCATCTGGTGATGCAGCTCCAAGTTTAGAAATCAAATGCTTTCATGAAATTGGGGTACTTCCATCCCAGTTAAAGTTGGTTGATGATTTGTGCTGAAATGCAAGAATTCTTCCAGAAGTGGAGCCCTCTCTCTCCCAATGGCCAATCCCCATTTTTGCTCCAGGAGAGATTTTCCATGCAAACAGGTGATCTTCCTTCTCCCTCCCTCCCTCCTTGAAGAAATCCCCCAATCCAGCCCTTCCTGTGTATTATAGTGTACATTGTATCATAGACTATATATTGCGTTATGTGTTTCCTACATGTTTCAAAAACATATGGCTTGTTATTTTTGAGCTTTTAAATTAAAAAAAATCCACTTTATTTTTTAGTTGTAAATGCTTGAAGTATGTTTTTCTTTAAGTGGCAAAATCCTTTTTTGTTCTTAATGCTGTAACGTCACTAGCTAGTGTGTAGCTAGTTCAGGAGGGCTTGGGGAGGGAGAAAACAGTCACATTTCTTGATAAATGTAATTGCCAGAAACAAACCCCACAATACTTTGGAAACAAAACACTGTTTTACTATGTACAGAGAATGAAATAATGGAACATTTTGGTGACTTGTTGAGAGGTAAAGAAAGGTGCTGGTGTTTTTGACACCTCTTCCCCCCTCCCCCCCAGCATTTTCACACATGACACACGATTGGTTGCAATGAAAATATAAAACTCAGCTGATCAGAATATAATTTTGATTTTAAGATCTCTCTCCTGCCCTGGCCTTCCCCATCCTTTGTGTACAGCATGAGCAATATTCACAGAACACATACTTTCTAATTTCATGTATGAAAAAGACCTGTGTATACGTAACATGGGAACATGCAGTGCTGGTGTGTTTAAAATGTTAAGCATGTTGCTGTTGTGCTATACACACAGTGTCAGGGATAAGTCAGAATGAGAATGCCATTTCAGGCTGTCCCTACCTAAAAAAATGTAGAACCATCCTTTGCCTGTAGCTGAACTGCTTCTGTGTTCAAGATTCATCTTAGAGACTCTTCCTTTAGGCAGAAGCCGGTAGGAAGTTCTTCTCCATGAGTGTCATTGAAATATATGGAAGCTGTATAAGACCACGGTCTTTCAATGGGGCTTGCATGGGAAAACTTCCCAGTAGATTGTGCCTTATGTATTGTATGCTTAAGCTAGCTGACAGGAGGCCAACTAACCTCGCAACTTCTGCTCTGTGTGGGCTTAGAATATAGACAAGTCCACCCACCAATCACAATCCCTGTCCTGTTGCCCTCATGAAGTTAGTAACTCTCATGTCCCACCCATTCTATCCTTCCACCATCTTGGGGAAAAGACCAATTTGAAAGATAGGCAGGAAAGAAAAATAAACCCATATTGTTATGTTCCAGTTTTGAAATTTGTCTTATTTACAACAAATACAACATTTATTGACGGTAAAGCCTTGATACAATCTTCCTTCAGTACCAAGTAGTACCATGACGACAGCTGTAAAGAGCAGTTTGCAGGAGAGGATGGGTAGCAGTGACTGATTTTTGTGATGAGTATCTGCTCTAGGCTGCAATCCTGTGCATGTGTATCTGGGAGTAAGTCCTACTAAACTCAATGGGGCTTCTGAGCTGACTTGTATAGGGTGACTTATTCTGCTTCTATCAAAGTAATATCAAGAGTCTCATGGACATGGACCATGGGCAAATTACAAGGCTAGAAGGATTAAACAATTTGCAACTGAAACTAAATATTAGTTTGAATTGCTAGTAAATTGAAAAAAAATCTGGGAGAGTGATGGAATCATTTAGGGTTTAAAGCAAGAGGCCATAATACAAGGGTAGACAACTTCTGACCCTCTAGATGCATTGGTCTGCATCATCTCTGGCCATTGGCTATGCTGAGTAGGGCTCCTGGGACTTGCAGGTGAGAAAGAGAGTCATTAGATGCCCAACTCTGCATAATGTATAGATAAGACTCATAGAAAATTGTAAATTTCTGGCATTAAACACATCCCAGGTAATAGATTAGGACAAACTGAGAGTTTGCTGTGTCGTCAGACTGGACAGTTCATCAGTCTCAAATATTTGAGGGATATTTGTCCCCTTCCCGCAAAAAGGAAATCTGCCATAATTTATAGAGGATGAGTGCTGGGATCATCCTGTTTGCTGTAATTTCAGCAGAAATACTGTATTATGCATTCTATCTCCTGAAAATTTACGACCATCGACCTTCTTCTACATCTGCCAGTATTAACTGCATTAGCAAGAATATGAATCAGCACCATATTGCTCTTTGTCCCACAAAATGCATCCTTCTACCCTTTGAGAGGTTCCTGGAGAGTCTTGGCTGTAACTCCATTCAGTCCATGTTGACTGTCAGGGGAAATCATTTTCTTAACCGCCCTTCGGGAAGTCCCACATTTGCTGTTGATCACTGCATTGAAATTGCAGCCTCTGCCACATGTTTTGGTGACGTATTCTGTAGCAGAGGAAAGGACAACAAAAGAACCAAGAGACTTAAGTTTTATGTCACTTTCAATGGCAAATGCTGGCTGTGTCCATATGCAATCATAAACCAGAATTCTGGATTCATTCAGGATTAGCATGAATGAGGTGGTTGTTGGTACACATACTTGGCTCCTGCCAGCAGTAGCAGCTAAATGAACCAGAAACAAAGCATAATGTGCAATCTTAACCAATATTCCTGCCTTGCAGTGCCAGAAGCCAGGATTGTAAACCAGGTTTGTTTCTGGTTTATAAAACCTGGCTTGCTTGGGAGCAACAAGCCAGGACTCTCATTTCACATGGTAGGCTAAGTTTTCTAGTTCTGGATAGTTTTAACTTTCACTGTTAGAGGAACTAAGCAGAAGTGCCTCAGCATGCAACCTGGCTATGGTAAGCCACTGGAACTTTCAATTGCATGCTTTCAAATTAATCGAAATTTATTTTTGAGAAGAAATAATGCAAATAAAGGCCATGGGTCTTATACCTACGTCCACTGCTTGACTTAATCTGTTCTCACAGTCAATTTTTGAAGAATAATTTTCTGTAAATGCTAGAGTAAGAAAAGATGATATAGATCATTGTGTATATGTCACATACCATGGAAGTTCGAAAACGAGCAGTGCGTGCGGAATCCAGTCTCCCAGAAATCTTCATTTTTAAATAAAAATCTCTTACATTTAAAAAAACCCATTTAAAAGCATACATTGTCTATAGGGAGCACCAGAGTTTTACATCGAAAGTAAAATAATTGTCATTTGTGAGAGTGTAACAGGTGGTGCTATCCAGTGTTAGTCCAACATAAGTCCCATTCATTTCAATGGGTCTCCTCTAAGCAAGACTAACATTGGATGTTATGGTTCCTGATCAGAGAATAAAGCAAAAGCAACTTCACTGCTAGAAGCAACTTGCATCAAGAAGTAAACCTCACATTTTGCTTCTCCACCACCACCCCATTCCTGTATACAATTTCATCTTCCTACATTCCCAGCCCCTACCTTTGATAGCATTTACCACAGCAACCGGCAAGGGGCTGGGCTTTTCCATGGTCAGGTTGTTATGGGCAATGCGCTGCCCTGTGGCCGAAGACCGGGCAAGAGTTTCACGTGAGAAGAAGTAATCCAGGAGACGTCGTGTCATCAGCTCCGGTTTGTCAGCGGAGACCTGGGACAGGTCCTCCAGCTGGTGGTGAGTGATGTAGACTCTTGCATTGGGGACCAATTCCAGCTTGACCCTGCCATTCTCCTGTCCGACAGGGGATAAAATGTTATTCTAAAGCTGGACTTCAGGGCTGAAACCCCCATTTTCAGAATGTTGGATAGATTTAGGTGCAGGAAAATCCTTCCAAATAGAGCCAAGTTGTATTTCACTTTAATTGGGCTTAACCTCCACTAACTTCAGGCTCAGTAAAGCAGGGAACTACAAGAAGATTTGTATTTAGCTGAGATTTCACCATCAAAGCCCCACATGGGTTTGTTTACCTTTTCTGTACACCAGTTGTGTTGAAACTCGCCTGGTTGAAAAGAATAATACTTCAGTTTGTATAAATGGGGCAGCATGTGTGCATGGCATAAAAATAAAATCTACACTAAGGATACAGTCCAATGCATGTTTAGATAGAAAAAAACTCTACAACTCCCAGGATTCTCCAGCCAGCAGATTCCTCAGCAGTTAATTCAACATCAAATAGCTAGTTGCAATCCTATCAATCCATACTCAGGAATGAGTCCCACTGTGTTCAGGAGAATTGCTCTGGCAAAAACCAGCATAGGACTGCAGTTGCATAATGACCTATACTGACTCTTCTGTGCAAAGCAAATGTTGCTTTGCAGCCTCAAGTTCTTTGCAACTGCAAGCTCAGCCCCTGTGCCTGTTTCTGAAGAGGGCAGAGAAAGGAAAACACTGGTTGTAACAGTTCTCTCTCCTGATAACACAAACAGAAGTGGGGTCAGGGTAGCCTGTTCCCTTCCAAGGAGAAATGCCAGCTTGACAACCTCACATGTTTGGAAAAGGGTTAGAGTGCATTGCGATACAACTGCTGGTTTGAAGACAGAAAGATTGCAGTGAATCAAGGTGGGCAGGATCCAGATTTAAGCTGAATCAGCTGTGCAGCTGAAGTGGAATTCTCCACCTGCCCCTTCCCAAAGCAGCCCCTCCAGCCTCCTCAAAATACTGCCCAGTGAGAAAGGCCAATGCCAGGAATGGGTGCAGCCAAAACCAAGGTGAGCAAGGCAGACTGCTCTTGCCAGAGGTCTGAACTGGTTACTTGCAGAGGGCTTCTGAAATTAGGAAAAATGACAGCTTGCCAGCACGTAGTTAGGATCATGTGATAAACCCAGCTGTTCTATTTATGATTTTTTGTTTCTTAAGTTGGTTCTGCTCCTAGGTCTGAAACAATTGCTGTCATGATCTGGGCTGCTTTGGGGCTTCTCCTGATGCTCAGAACCAGACGCCCACCTTAATATTTGCAGAATCAGTTGCAGGCCCTGCTGGAGCTCTCAGCCTCCTGATAAGTGCCAGCTGGGAGCCATATAACAACAAGCTCTTCCCTCCACAACTAGGCTCAGCATCACAGATCATCTTCTTCTTTGCTGCAGAGCCTGCATCTTGCCTGCCTCGCTGCCTCCTGCTGACAACCTGGGTCTTCTTACTGGCTGTGGTGTGGTTCAGGTCCTGCTCCTTGGCCGCCTCCTGCTGTGTTGGTTCCTGCTGCCTCAGCAATATAGATTTGACTGCTAACTGTGTTCACCCCCTGCTCTTGCCGTGTATCCCGCTATGAGATACTCGCATCTCTGTTTGTCTTCCTGTTCTGACTCTTGGCTTGCTCATGACCATCTCCTTGTTTTGCCCCAATACCTACTTCTGGTCCCTGACCTTGAACTGATGTGTGACTATGACTTGGAATCACTACTGAACCTTAATTCTGGACACTGGACTCTGTTTTGCCTTAAGTTCTGTTGCCCCAGTTCTGGTGCACACTGTCTTGCCTCACACTGCTCATGCCCTGCCCCCAGGCCCCGGCCATCGCATTTTTCCTTACCAGGCTGAGATTGCACGAGGCTTAGATAGCACTCAAAGCTCCCTAGCAGTCCTGAGTGTGATCGCTCATCTGCCTTGCCCCACAGTTATGATAATAAAAGCACAGTGTTTGGGTGGTCTCACTTGCTCCTAGTTCCCTGGAAAAAGGGGCGGGAGTGGAGCCCAGTTCTGAATCTGACATGCAGAATTATGTCCTGGACATGCACACCAATGTTCATTCCAGTGCATGGGCTCCACTGCACAGCTTTTCCTGCCCCCTTACGATTCTGTCTTTCTCGCAAAGTAGATTCATCCCTGAAACATCAAAGGGTGTCTAGCACACAGTTGATCATGATGGACTATGTCAGCTACCCAGAAAGCTTAGGCTGTGCAATGGCATAGAAATGAAATAACTATGGATCAAGGTTTACTTATGTATTCATTGGCTGTGGAATTAATTGATTGTTACAAGATGTGGCAACAGTCACAGCTAAGATGGCTTTAAAAGGGGATGAGACAAATTCATGAAAGATCAGGTTAACACTGTCTACACTGTCTACTGTAACAGGTTAACAGGTTAACACTGTCTACGAGTTCTACTGTATGGAACCTCCTCTCTGAGTATCAGTTGCTGCAGGGGGCTGTTTGTGTGCTTCCTAAAGGCATTTGTTAGCTGCTGTGAAAACTACCCTAAGTAGCCCTGTGGTTTGATCCAGCAGAACCCTCCGTATGTTGATCTGACTAGGCACACCAACTTCTATTCCACTTGATCTTCCAGGTAGGAACCTCACCTTGCATTTTCCTCTTCAATCTGAAAATGGGTGGAAGCACCAAGCTGAACCTGAACTGTAGCCTTGTGCCCTGAATGGGCCTTCCCAAATTTTATTCATCTTCTCAATGGTCAAGAAGCCTACTGCATTATAGCCAGACAGAAATGGGCAGACGAGACACTGAATGGTCAACTTTGACTTGGCCAACTTAGGCTGTAATATTATACCTTCTTGAGTAAATGCCACTGAACTCAATGGACTCATTTCTGAGTACACACATATAGGATTGCACTCTTAGAAGCTTGTACTTTTATACTACTCTGCCTGAACTGCAGTGCTTGCTTGTGAGTATTCCCTCTTAAATCAAATGATAGATTTTGTTTTGTGCTTAGGGTCTTGCCAATCTTCCTCCTCAGCTAATGTTTTATAATATCTGTAATGTCATCACAGCACCTGGTCAGAGAGATGCTTCCTCTCCCATCACGCACCTCCACTGGTGATGCCCATACTGGAGTCCCATCAGAGAGTTTCTCTTGGCGGCTACTCCACAAACTGGTGGCACTGCTGAGCCCAGTGGGACTTCTTGACCTGCCTTCTGCATTTATCCAGGGTGAGAGCCCAGTGGGTACTGTGTTTCGGGAACTCCAACTGTAAGAGGTATTTGGGCTAGGGACTGGGGTATGACTCTGATCTTCTGGAGAAGATGGTGAGCTCCGACCACTGACCTGGAAGCGAATCAGAGAGATGGGGATGTATACTAGAGGAAACTGGCTGCTATACAGACTTACATAGGAAGCTGTCATCAGCAAGGCGTATTTGTCATTCTAGCCCTCTACTGTGTTCTCTGACTGGCAGCAGCTCTTGAGGACATGACTTTTCCTATCAACTGCTACCTGATCTTGTACTGGAGATGTTGGGAATCAATCTTGAGTCCTCTGGCAGGCCAAGCATATACTCTGCTGCAGAACTATGGTCCCTTCCCTAAGAAGGCAATGTGTCCCCCTGTCCCCAGCCCCTGGGGACAACCCGGGATGCAGCAGAATAGTGAAATCTAAAAGCTCTTATTCCCAGCTCCCTTTGCATTTCCAAGAAGGAAACAGCTGAGAGAATGAGTTGTGCCTCCTTTGCGTATGGACCATTACCTGTGTAGCTGTGAAATTCTCCAGCATCCCCACTAGGCTTTTGAGGAACTGAATATTGCTTTCATTAACATCTGCAAAAGAAAAAAGGACAAGAACTGAGCACTGGCCAGGATTTCTGGGCAATCTCAGAGGAATACAATTATTACGTGTGCTTTTCTCCTGTGGCATGTTACTTGGTTTTGGGAGCTGAAACTGCAGCTTGCATTTTTAAATCACTTTTTCTCTGGATGGAGAGCAGGGATGGCAGGCTAGGATCTACTTGTTTCAACAGGCTCCCAAAGGTCCACCAACCAGAGACAAGTGCAAAATAGGGGATGAGGATGACAAAGCCAGGTAGCAAATGGTAATTTGGGATGGAGCAAATTATCTGCTGCATTTGCCCTGCCTCCACAAACCTGCAACACATGTGCAGATCTATAACTGATTTCCTACGTATTTGGGATTCTGTCACCAAACACTTAAAAGTGCTAAGCAGAACTGCTTGAAAAACCCAGTTCAAAGGTGACCAACTGATACTCTTCTCTTATGGGTAAGGCACACTTAGGCTGAGAAAGCAGTTGGCCATGGAGTGTTCATTCATTCTATTTGAAGGATGCCTTTTCATTTTTAAACTACTGGAAGTCAGAAACCCTTGAAATTCTACTTCAAATCATTCAGATATCTGTCAGTAGATCCCAATCCAAACTCTGCCAATCCCTGACAAAGGTGGATTGTTTTTAATTCCCTTTGATATACATTCTGTCACTGGCTGTCGTTATGCTGTTTGCTTCAGCAGGGCTTCAAGAGAAAGAAACAAGAAATGGCACTAGTGATCCCTAATAGCAAAGAAACCAAAAGAGGTGCCTTTAGCCAAAATGAAAATGGCAGCAAGCTTGCTTCCCTAGTCACTGATGAAGGCAGGGAAATGACAGGCCTCTCCATTCTTCCTGCATTTAAATGACACTAGCAAGGAAGCAGCATAGAAAGAGGGCAGTTTTCAGCCAAATGGGTTCCATCGCAAAAAGACATGGAAAAAGTCATGTGAAACATGACCAGGTAAAAAAGAACCCGTAGATTTTAACCAAGTAAATTGCAAGCAAACTCACAACTAAATAGTGCTGTTAATATTCCAATGACCAATATTTATTGCACAAAAGGATATTTCCCATTCTTTCTAGTTTCCTGTGTTTTCCTGCAGGGTGGGGACAGAGGACTCTTGCACGCATATGGCAGGGCCCTCCAGCTTTAGTGTGTAGAAATTCTGTTCCCTTCATAGCTTTCTGTTCCTGCTCACTGGCTACCAGTCATACTTAGCATATCTACAGGGTGTTAAGGCTTTCAAAGAACTTTGCATATATTATCTCAGTCAGTCCCCACAACAACCAGGCAACACAGGCCCACGTTGTTATTTCTATAATGTCAGTTTTGAGAGAACAGGGGGAAACGGGGAATGGAGACCGATAGACAATGGGCTACCTAAGGCCACCTCCTTGAGCGTTTGTGGCAGTGGTTGAGATGTGAGCTGGTGCCTTCCTGGTTTACGGTTCAATCTCTTAGGACACAGATAAGACTCTGGGAGGTCCATGGACGTTTAAAAGTGTAAAGGCAGTTGCAGGGGTAGAAATTTACATTAAGGGTATGGCACTAAAGGAACGGGAATGTTAATTCCTAACCCAAATGTCACATTCCAGTTCCAAACCTACTGCCCTTCAATAGAACTTTGAATGTTCTGGATGTTTCCTCTTGCAAGGCATGAGAGAGGGAGGGGATCTTTCCAATTGGGAAAATGGCACCAGTGCAAAGGGATTACATTTGTTCCCCCAAGTTTCATGGCTATCATTTAAACTTGCCTATGCCCTGGGTTGCACGTTGCCCTTTTCAAACCCTTTGGGAGATCTGATCACACAGGTCTCCTATTGCTTCTTCTTGTTTGGCCCCTAACCATTATGCCAGGCTAGCCCATTCGCATGACTTCAATAGCCAGCTAGTCCACATCTCCACAGCTCTCCCTCCATTCCTTTCTCTCACCCCTTTGAAAAGTCCCTCCAGACCATTTTCTTTGGCATCTACCAAAACTGATGCTAGAGAGCCCTAAGAGGCAGAGTTTCAATGCCCCACTAAAAGCAGCAGTACTATTATTACCAAAGCGATCGGGTGCTGTGCCCAGCACCATCCTGGCTGGCGCTGTTCCACCTGCTCCATTCCTGATGGACAGAAAATCATTCTGTTCTTCTAAGTGCCAGAGCAGGCCTTTCAGCTTGTGGTTCTCCAGCTCCAGCTCCTGGATTCTCTTCTCCTGCCGTGCTGCGACCTCTTCTTGGGAGGCCAGCATTCTTCGCAGCTCCCCCATCTGCCGTTCGAGTTCTCGGATCAGTTCAGCGTAGAGAACTGTGACTCTGCTGCTGTCAGCAAGGGACACACGCTCATGATTGTTTTGGTGGCAGAATCCCAGGAGTGATGAAGATTGCAGCAGATTCTCTCCAGGGCCAGCAGGGGTACAGAGAGGCACGTATGGTGCAGAATGGGCATCCTCGGGGTTACTTGAAGCACTTCTGAATTGTGGCATGTTGAAGGAACACTGGCTGTGGAGATCTAGACTCGAAAAGGCATGTCCATAAGACATCCTCTGCAGCTCCAGCATCTGAGCGAAGGGAGAAACAAGGTTCGGACTAGCATGGCTTCTAGCAACAAGCTTGGCTTTTTTCTGGCAGTTGTTGTCTTCATATGAGCATGTTAGACGAGCTCCAGCTTTTCCAATGTTGTTCAGCGGTTGGGCCCTGAAAACAGACAAGAGCTAAACAGATGGAAAATGTGGATTTGTAAGTTTGTTTGCTTACTAGCCAACAGCAAATGTCACTTGAAGGAATTTGGGCTTGTTGCATTTCTAAAATAGCATGTCTGTGTACAGGAATTCACTGTGCCAAAAGCAGGAGGAGGGAGGTCAAAAGAGAATGCCTCTGGGAAACAATGGGAGTCCAAAGAAAGAGCCCTGGCAACAGCAAGGAGAAAACAGCCATTAGCTCTCAGCTTGCCAGAACTGCCCAGGTTGTGCAAAGAAGCAAGATTCTGAGGGCACCTTAGCTCTGGTTTCCTGTACTAAGCAAGAGGTTGGATAAGATCCTAGGACAGAAGGTAGATCTCCAGGTATTTCAGACTTCAAATTCCAGAAGTTATTTCAAGCATGGCCAATGGTTAGGAATGCTTGGGAGCTGAACTCCAGAACATCTGGAGATCTACTTTACACTCACCCTTGGGCTAGGTGGCCTACAAAGCCTTCCCCAGTTCTATGTGTCCATTCAATCTGAAATCTTGAAGGGCATGTACCTTATTGTATGCCTCATCCAAGGCAAGTATTCACCCAGACCTGTCTCATGAATCTTTTACCTGCAAGAAGGACTGCAGCGCCACTGCTTCAAGGAGGGCTAGAGAACCTGTGGCCCTCTAGAAAGTGATGAATTCCAACTTCCAAGAACCCCCACCAGCATGGCCTTTGGTCAGAGATTATGGGTGCTGTAGCTGAACAGTACCAGGTAAGTGCAAAGATGCTGGAACTAAATTTATTAACACGTGGAAGAATATTAAGCACAAGGTGGATGGCTTCCTGTTCCAGATTACTGTCTGCTGTGGGAGCTTATGGAGCTTTGTTTTGTTGAAGCTAAAAATGATTGCAACACAGACAAAAAAGAGAGATCGAAGTTTTCGATTTTAATATACTGTTTTATTGTGTATTTAGAAACTGAATTTATATACTGCCCAGAGAGCCCAAAGGGCTATGGGATGGGATAGAAATGTAAATTGAAAGATCACTTCAGTCATATTTCTACTGAACTTAGACTTGATGTGTGATGACCTCCAACAACCGATGGAGCTGAGCCCAGATTTACAAGAATGTGGCCTGGATTTAAGCAAGACCAGTAAAAGGATAGACAATATTGTTATATATTACCCTCCACAGAATGTATTAAAATGATCCTCCAACCTGACCAAAGCTTACTATGAAAATCTGAAAGTATTTATTCTGCTGGATGAAGAAGCTAATTTACCCATCTTAAGCAGTGGCCAGAGATGCAGATCGCCATTGAAAATTTGGTAAGAAAGAAGTCTGAAATTTTCCAGAAGATTTTCATTCAATGAAACCCACATAAAATGAAACCCACATAATTTGTGGATTTTGAGGCTACCTGCTTGAGAAAAAAATCCCAAAAGAATTACTGCCAGCTATGGAGCTGCTTCCTAAGAGCAGCAACAAACCCTTGTCGCTCTTGCCAAGCAGCTCCTGGGTTAGCACAGGTTCCAGCCTCCCCCAAAGTGCACTCCAGGTGCTCAGGAAGGTGCAAAAGGGCGCTCCCTCTCCATTTCTAGGGAAAGGAGCCTTGACATCTAGCCGGCAATGAGTGGTTTTTGACTGGGGCACATGGCTGTGTGTGGCCCAGTCAAAAAAAGAAAACAAGCCCTGCCCAGTGAGAACATCTTGTTAAAGGGATCCACTTATCCTTAGAACAAGTGTGGAAGGCGGGGGGTTATGGGCATTTAGCAGGCCAGGAGATAGGGCAGGCATACTTGATGGACAGACAGTGCAATCTTAACCCCCCTGTCCCCATGAAAGTGCTACCTGAAGACATGTTTATCTGAACCAGTCCAATGTCCTTTCTTTAGCTTGGTAGGAAAGAAAGGTGCAAACAAGTGGCTCTCTCTTCCAGTGCCCAGAGTGAAAGTGAATTTTTCTCCAGTGACCCTTCAGACTTCAAAGAAATCCTGCATGTCAACACTCCAGCCTGGCAAAGCAGGAGCCCAAAGCAAAGAAGGAAAAGCCATGTGCCTCTTATGAAAGCACAGGCTGGCCCTTTGCAATACTTTGGTGTGTGTGTAAGTGCTGATAGGCTAGTTAAACATGCTAGCAACCAGGACTGCTCACATTTCGTTTCTATAGAGTTGGTGCAAATGCTGGCAGTGAAAACAAAAACATTGAGGACGTATTCCTGCCTGTTCAAAATCTTACCACCTCACCTCAGTTGTCCCCTACATTATATGCCTCATCATGTATTGAATGAATCCCCCACTTGGAGTTTTTCTTTTCTGGTCAACGATCAAGGCCACTGAATTCTTGCAACCAGAACCACAGGAGAGCCCACTGGATCAGACCAAAGGTCCATCTAGTCTAGTGCTCTGTTGCCATTCAGGTGAATCAGCTGGGCATGAGTGCAATAGCATTTGGCATCTCAGGAAATATTTGGTATCTCATTCTGTGAAATATTCTTTGATGCTCTTGCTAGGTGAATGCTGCATTTCCCAATTTTATTTTGTCCCAACTTTTTAACCAGCCCTTCCTCCAGTTAGCCCAGAACACCATGCAGGTAATTTACATTTATTCTGCCCAAATCTAAAATGTTAGTTTTAGCTTATAGAGCCCTACAAAGCTGGGGACCCTAATATCTCAAAAGTTGTCTCTCCCCATATGAACCTACCCACTCTCAGGGGTCAGCTTCAGAAGAGCTTCTGTGTGTGCCCATTCTGCAGGCATTCCAGGACTGACCATCTGGGAAAAGCCCTTTTCTGTGACAGCCCTGTGCTCTAAGCAGGTAAGCAATAAGTAAGCTTACCTGGCACCAACGCAGCCACCTTTCCAGAGCCTGATGACCTTACTTCTTCAAGCATTTGAACATTAGACATAGCTCAGCTGTTGTTGATTGTTTTTGCAGTGTTTCTCCTAGGCTATGAGTAGAGTAAGGTTTTGAATATTTTTGATGAGCACTTCACATCTTTTCTTAGAGTGGTTATTTGGGATTGTATTATTGTGCTGATTTTCGATTTTGGGTCTTTTTGGGTCATGGTAAAAATGGATCTCCATATTTTGTGCTTAAGCTCTTTCCGGCCCACTTTTTGCAGTGGGACATGCATTTAATAAATTCTGGGGATAGCCATAATACCCAGGGAGTCCTATCCAGTCATCTGCTTAGCTTCAGAGACAGAACGCATCACCCTTCAGGCAATCCTGTAGAGTCTGCCTGATACAGCCTCTTCTCAAAACCACCCATGTGACAAGCACACAGGTGGGCACTTGTGGCAGCATCCCATGGCTAGAAAATTCCCTTCCACTGTTCCCATTGCAAGGTCATTTGGAGTCTTCAGGTAGGCCAGGAAAAACATACCCCAGGAGAAAAACAAATTAAGTAAAGCAATCAACTGGCCCAGCATTGTACCTGGACTTCTTCCATACCTGGTGCATTCATCATCAACTTGTCCTTGAGGAGTCAACTGATGGGAAGGATGAAAATTGGAGCTCTCCAAAGAATTGCCTCTCATTCCTGCTTCTAGTGGCTTCAATGGTAGGTGCTCTTCCTCCTGTGGGTTATCACCCATCCCGTGCTGCGTTACCTCGAGACAGGGTATCAGGGGATCGGTGATACTTCAACCATTGGTACCCATCTTTGAATAGACCAGTCCCTGTAACAGGAACTATCAGAGATCGGCACATAATTACAACTAAGATATCAATCCAACCTGCTATCTTCAAGTTATTTTGGGCTACAACTTCCAACTTGGGCCTGCTTCTCCCCATCTGCTGTTTCCTATCCTTTCTTAATTATTCATACACAAGTTTCCTCAGCTCTGACTTCTATTTTCCTCTCCCATGCATTTCCAATTCCTTTGAACATGACACTTCCTTTCCTTCCTTCAAAAAACTCTCCTTCTGTGAGGCTTTTACTCTTTTCTAATAATGCCATCAGTCTGTGGCTTTGGAGCAAAGGTCCAGGCCCCCCACTTGGCAAAATGAGCAGTAGAGCCCACCAAAACATATTTTGAATAAACTGAAGTCATTAACACATGTAACTTTGTCAAGCAGGATGGGGACAGGAGAAGCTGACTGTAAGACTATTTAAGTAAGTGAGAAATACATATTTCAAGACAGGCCACTAAGCCCAGAATTTAAAATTATCTTCTGCACTACTGCCTCTTTTTGATGCCAGGGCAGGAATACTTCCAGACAGAAGGCACCTACCATGACCAGTCACGGACCATTGTACAGCTGTTCTGACTTTTTGCAGTTAATAGATTTGCTGTGGCAAGAAAAAGGGGGAAGAAACAGTGGGAAAGCCCAGGAGGATTATGAGCAGAAAATGTTAGCGGGACACACACATCCTTGTCAAATTCTATGAATGCGGCAGGTTACTAGAGTAATTGAAAAACTTCTTGTGAAAGCATGCCAGATGCAGGATGCCTTTCCCATGCAAAGGCATAATCAAAGTCCATGCAATGTAGGAGAAGTGACAGCAACTAATACCCAATGTTAGTCCTACATACAGCAGATACACTGAAATGAATGGGATAAGTTAGTTGCGACTAACCCATGACCCATTAATTTCAGTGGATCTACTCAACAAAGGAGTAACACAGAGATCCCCGCCCCCGTAGACAAGAGGACATGATACAGAAGTCTGAAGAATCTCCCACACAGGCATTTTCACAAGGCTTAAGCATTGCTGCTGCTTAAAGGCAGGCCGGTGTTGCTACATCCCCTCCCCTGTATTCAAGTTTTGCCCATCCGCCTTACAGTAATGCCGGCTATCATGTCGATCCCTTCTTCCTCGCTGTAAACACCAGTTCCTGTCATGGTTTTACTTTTATTCCATTTTATTGCTGTTTCTATTGCATTGTGTGTGGAATCGTTAACTCCTCCCACAACCTCCTCCCAGGTACAAATCTAAGAACTCAATATATAAAGGAATAAAAATAACATCCTTGTTCTAACATTACATGCTTGTTTTGAAATCTGGGACTGGCTCTCAGCGGCTGGGGAGATACGTGGAACATATTAAGCAATTCCTACAGCAAAGAGTGCCACTGAGCATGTGCAAACTGCATCTCCCTTTCTTAGGAGATGCAGTGCGACAAGGCCCCACTAGCTGCCCCTTCAGAGTCCCCCTTCACAATCCCTCCCCAAAGGTCCGATTCTGTCTTCCCCACCTCCGTGAAAGCGGCGGGCACCCTGTACCTTTAACAGCACCTCCATGTGTCTGTTTACAGCTCGCGCACCGCTTCCTGGTCCTCACGCTCTGCTCTCTGGCTCCGCCCCTTTCTTGTACTGGCTGCAGGTTTCTCACCGCCTCCTACTGCCGGCTTCCTATTGGCTGCGGAGGGGAGGTTTTCTTAGTCAATCACCCTGTTCCCTAGACAGACTTTAGAAGACTGACACGCTGCCCGGCTTCCGGGATGACTTGGGAATTCTTACTTGACGTTTCGGTAGAGGCCGGGAAGCAATGGCTCTGTATACAAGCCTATAGAGCAAAGGTGGGCTTCTATGTAGACATTTTCTTCCACGCTGGAGCATTTCAGGTGTGTTGAACCACACCTCCCAGCATCCCCAACCACCCTGCTAGTGGAAATGATAGGGGCTGTGGTGCAGCACATCTGAAGGACGCCAGGTTAGGAAAAGGCTGTGGCTGAGCATAGGCATCAGCAATTGGTTTTGGTTCCTTGAATACCTACATCACTGGACTTTACATTAGAAACTAAAAATAAAGCTATAGCCAAAAAATAAAAATGAATCTTGTTAGAATGCTGCCAACTTACAACAGATTATCTTATAAATGCAAAACATCTGGCTCTTTTGACAAGTGCCCTAAGATATAGTGATTAGCAAAGTAGCTAAAAATGGGGCAAGATCAAACAACTATCAGGTGAATCCACAGTTAGTTATAGAATTGGACTCAAAGAGTGACACCCTCTCAAACTGGGGAGAAATAGTGAGTGTTCTTCAACTTCTTAATTATTTGGATAAGGAGGTGCTGTAAATGCTGATCATATTTGCACTTGACATAAAATTGGGTGAGACAACTAATAACATGGAAGACAGAAACAAGATTCAAGGGGATCTTGATAAGTTGATGGGCTGAAAACAACAGAATGACATTTAATGGGAACAAATGCCCATTTCTGCCCTGAGGAAAAAGGACACAGAATAATAGGCTCAGTTTGCAGGAAGCCAAATTCCTGCTGAGTGGTATGGCAATGGAACCAATTACCTAGGCAGGTTGTGGACTCTCCCACACTGGAGGCATTCAAAATGTAGCCAGACAGGCAACTGTTAGGGATGCTTTAACTGAGCATTGGCTCCTTCCAACTCTACTGTTGTGTGATCTTTAGGTACCCATTCTGAACATCTGTGCAGAACCAGTGTGTGTGATTCACAGCTTATACAATCTAAAGGCAGCTCTTGCCCTCATTAACATGTCTTGCAATTGAAAAAAAGGAAAGGAAGACTAGGTGTCTGTCACAATGAACTATGTTTCAACTTAAGGCTTGGTAGCTCCTGGTAAGGAGATAAAAAGACTAGCTTCAGTGAGAGCCAGTGTAGTCTAATGGTTAAGACTGCTGGTCTAGGTCTCAGGTAATCTGGGTGCCAGTCCATACTCAGCGATGGAGCCAACTGGGTGACTCTGGGCCTGTCACAGACTCTCAGCCCAACCTACCCCACAGGGTTCTGTTGCGGGGATATGGTTGAGAGCAGCAGGAGCAGAAAGATGTAGGTTGCTTTGAGTATGTAAGAAAAAAAGCAGGAGACAAATCTAATAATTCAGGTGCTGATTTTGTGCAAAAAGCTGTGCCAAGGAGCTAGTGCAGTACATTTGCCAAGATAGGGGGTACTGAGAACATTGGTTTGAAAATCATAGGAATTACTTCAACAATGGCTGGATAAGGACTGTTGGAATTGTGAGGCTTATTTCTGTTTAAGTATGCATAGGATCATGTCCTATATCATTGGCCTAGATGCCTATAATGACCAAATATGACCATGATTTAAAAGAAGGAAAATTCTAGTTTAGCCAACACATGGAGATGAGAAATTTTGCAGAAATTTCAAATAACTTTTTAATGAGATGCTTAAAAACTCATGAACATAAAACATGGCATAGTTGTTGGAGAAGATACCAAGATTTGATTGGCAGATGGGTAGTCTCACCACCCTTTGATGCCCCCACTTTATAAAGGCTTATGCAGCGAGAGGTTTCTGCCCTATTATATCATCTTGACTTTGCTTTACTCTTCCACTTCTGATCTTTACTGGACTTCTGGACCAAAGGATTTGGATAATCATGGGCCTCTTCAGCACTTAGGACACAATCCTGTGGAGATGAGTGTAAGCCTGGATTCAGAGGCTCATACTCATCCACTGTGGAGCAGGAGCAGTGCTGAAGTTGTTGTTCAGCTCTTCTCTGCACCAGTGGTGCATTTGCATGAGACAGCCACATTCCCTCTGGTGCCTCTGGTGGTGATGTTTCAGAGAAGGCAAAAAAGCCTGGAGCAGCTTCATGATGTTGTGTATCCTGATTGCTCTAGGCTGCCACCCTTCCTATCCTGAGATGCCCCCATTTGTTCCTCTCCATGGTCACTTCCCTGTCCTTGGAGAGCAGTTGGTGCAGGGCTTTCCATGCTGGCTGTGAGCAGTCAAGGCTCTGATTCCTAACTCAAAGACCAGAGCACTGTCTCTCCTCTCAGAACTGGGAATCTGAAATGGGCAGGTTCTGTCTTCCATGAGGAGAAGATCTGATCATGGCAGGTCCCCTTTCTTCTCAACACTACAGCTCACCCTGCTTTGTAGGATCTCTCAACTGCCTGTGTGACTTGGAGGAGCTACCATGAGAAGCAGAAGTCCACTTCTGTCAGCAAGGCTGATCCAGGGCAAATTGGATTCAAGCACAGAAAGCAGAAGCCCACTTTGGTCATGTTTGTAAACAGACTACTTGATGGAATGAGCAACCAAGAAGTAATGGATATTTTACTACACTAGAAGAGGTTCAGGCTTGCTATTTCCCTGAATCCTTTTAATTATTTTCATTTTGAAGAAGGTGATGCAGGCCCAGGGCCATCTAAGGCCTGTACACACAGCCTAGCAACACATGCTCTACAATCCAAGAGCTGATAGCTCATGTGGATGAGCAATGAATTCTATACGTGTGCATGCGCGCACACAGAGAGAGATTGAGATTTGAGGGCAAATCTTTAATTACATAATAATAATGTTAGAGTCTGGTGAATCATAAAGTGCTAAATGTAATCACAACTCACAAATAAATCCAATCTAGCAATTGAATATAAGAATATATATTTCCAATAGAGTATAACAATATTTTGAACAGAAAATTAAAACATGCAGATTCACAAATAAATATTTTATTGGCAGGAAAAGGATATTGGTTTACACATTTATAAAGCAGTTACAAAACCAATCAAATTATAAGACATTAAAATTAATCTCCCTGTTCATCATCATATTCCAGACCCTCTAGATGGCAGGTTCTGTGATGGATCCATGCATTCCTCATTTTTAAAACTATCCCCTCCAAGCGGGAGATACGCTGCTCAAAATCTGTCACTGCAAAGAAAAGCATGAGTCAGGCAAAGCAATTATTTTTAGAACAATTTCCAGAGGGGTAACTAGGCTGATGCAGCAGAAAAACAGGCAGTTTTTCTACATAGGGATGCTAATCACTGTCTCTTATTTTGGTTTTGTCACAGAACTGAAATCCAAGTTCTACACAAAGAGCTTTTTGTTTCCTTCTTTTCCACTACATAACCTCTACCTGGAGTTATGGAAGAGTTCAAATACAACCCAAGTATTTCTCTGATTTTCAGAAATAATAATCCATTTTCCCTGCTCTAAACTGGGAAAGTACTCTTTAAAAAAACAACCAACCAAAATGAAAAGAGCTCAATGTCATCAAAAGAACTATTAATAAGAAATTACAAGTACACAATCAATGTCTCAGAGTCTTGTGACACCTTAAAGTCTTTAAAAAGTTATCACACACAAGCTTTCTGGAGTCCATGAATCTTAAGTTGGCAGGTAGGGAAGTGTGTATAAGTGTATTGTTACGCACTCATTCACACACACACAGTTGCAAAGAGGAAGAATGTGGAGGTGTGTGGGCAGAGAGAAAGGAAATGCAAACACAAGTATAGACTGGGGTAATTACAACTATAAAGGTGCAATCCTATGCATGATTAGACAGAAAAAGGTACTACAACTCCCAGCATTCTCCAGCTAGACATGTTGAGTAGGGAATGTTGGAATAGTGAGGCTGATTTCTGTCTAAATATGCAAAGGATTATGCCCTACAAGTAGACAATATTGTTACAGTAACTATTAACAAAGCAGTGTTGATAGTATCATAAACATCTTAGTACTAGTAAGTTAATTATTCTACATAGTGAGAGAAAAACCTATTATCTCAAATCAGGCCACTGGTAAGAGAATCTAATTTCTTAAGTTATAATGCAGCAGCTTCCTTTGAAGTTCCTTTGTTCAAGAATTGCTATGTTAAAGTCAGTCATTTCCCTTTGCCTGCCAGCTAGAATA